ATGGGGACGCGGGTGCGAGGGGCAGCGAGCCCCGCGCAGGAGGCCGCAGGTGAGGTAAGTACTGACCGAAATAAAAGTCGTCTAGATAGTCCCGCGTCGACTGTGGAAAATACAGTATGGTAAACTGCTGTGTGAGACTAAAATAAAAGGTGTGGGCTCCTCCGCTGAGTACTGAAGGCTTTGAGCATCCTGTGGGATTTTCTGGTCTTACATCTTAATTCTCACAGAAATGCAGTTTCTGGCTATTTGGATAAACAATTACTGCCAGCAGCAGAGATTTATGAAACTCCCTGCTCTGTTACCAAGAGCGTTACTACAAAGGGGGTTATCCGGTGCCAGTTTACCAAAATGCTCAAATCCTTTACAAAAACAGCCCTCTTTTTTTTTTTCCTCCTAAAATCAAAAAGGTTTTATTTTGTTTGTGAACGCAGAACTAGGTTTGCGAAGGAAGGAAAGATCACCAGCCTGCAAGAGGTACGCTTTTAGTAGTCAGTGCTAAAGTTACTTCCCATAGTGCGATTCAGATGTCTTAGTACAGGCTGAGAATTGGTTTCACGACTGTGCTGGTACAATTAGTGAAAAGACTATCCTCCGATATTTTTGTAATTCTGATTAAGTCTGTGCCCTCCTACATGATTAAACTGGGATGACACAGGACTTTCTGAAATGTGGAAAAACATTTCATCCCACCGTGTGTGCTGCTCTTACTGAAACACATGTCATAAATGGTGAAAAAGTCTTTGTGAAGGTCCTTCTCCTTTTAAAATTAACTCTGATCCCTAAATGTATTTCGTATTTTGTATGGCTTCAGTCAGGTTCATTCGGTCTTGAAAAACAATATATACATTTAAACATAAAAGCCTATAATGTGAAAGTTCATTTTGTAAACTTATTATGCTAAGGGACAGTCACCCAGATTGGTATTCAGGCATGCTGATGAGAAGTGACACTATTGTGGATGGTATTTCTCTTTTAGGAATAAAAGGTAGGCTTTGTTCACAATGTCAGTCAAGGCAGCGCTAAATTCACTCAACTTTCTGTACCTGATGTCAATTGAGGCATGAGCACACATTTCTGACAGGTCTATTAATAGAGGCCCTAACTAGAGCTTTGAAGACTGAAAGGTTATGTGAAACAACTCTATTTCCACTACAGCACAATCCAAATCTCCCTGAATTTCACCATTAGGTCCCTCCTTGGCGTTCATCTTACTTAAGAAAGGAAAACCCCTATGGATGGAGCGTGATACTCCCTAAGAGGAACATAGGAGGCTGTGGGTCGGGAAAGAAAGCATGCAATTTAAGCTGACATGGATGACCCGGATTCCTTTATTCTGGCAGAAGAGCCAGATTCAACCCTAGTTTATAAAGGTAATAAGTCTTTCATTGTAAGAGGCTCTGGCAACTTAAAGTAACTTGCTCTGTCAAAGCACCTTGCATGCAGCTACAAAATACAGAAAATGGCTACTGCTGGTCAGGGCAGGTGTGGGACTGACATAGAAACTGTTTTAGAGTTTCCTTACAGCAATAAGGACTCCGTGGAATCCCAGCATGAAAGCGATGCCTTCATGCCACAGCAGAGTGGGAATTGTGCCCGCTGGCTCCCAGTTCATGTCGCGTGTCCTTGATCACAACAGGCTATCTGAA